TTAAAAACTCATAATTTCTTTACTCCGTATTAAAAATTCATAATTTCTTTACTCCATAATCTATATCTTAATTTTCTCCTTATTTACAATTTGTCATAATATTTCTATTATTCTATGCATACGTATTTGCATATTACATACAAAAATAGATAACAGAACTCAAATTTGCGATCGAATTCATTTTAAACCGAGCGCTCTTGCAACCATTCAAAGGATTTGAAAGTGAAAAGGAATGCTGAAAAGGGTAGCAGCGAGCTGTTACGAACAAGAACACAAAGCGTGCCACCCGAACACGAGTGGCACGGTCCCTTCGTCTTTCCTCGTCGTCCCCTCACCCACAATAAACTGGTTTGAGACTCTTTTGCGTCCCAATGTGAAACGGCTCTAATATACACGCACGCATACACATACATTGAGTTATACACCAGTGGTAAGATTGTAATGAAGCTACATTGAGTATTAGCAACCCTACAAGAAACTGCTGATGGGTACACCAATACACTCACATTTATTATGTCATATGAACAGTAAAATGACTGTCAATGTTTACGATTTTTCCAAAAGCAAATTCTGTATACATGCAAAGGAGACAGTATACATTTCCAAAGAATTTTGAGAGTTTGTGAAATTCTTATGTAGCTGTTATTTCGTGCGATGAACCAAGTGTTGCGTGCTTCAGTGCAATAACTATTTTTGTTTTATTAAAAATAAATAAATAACAAAGGCTCAATTATAATATACGTAAGTTATTAATTTTAAAATAATATTATATCTTTAATTAATTTTAATTTTTATTTAGGCCTTTTTATATCCCGAAATATTCATGAACTGGAGAAATATGTATAGCAGAGCTTTTGAGAGCAAGAATGGAATTAACTGAAAATTTCTTTTCATAATTTATTGTTTAATTATATTTTTATTACACTTTTTTTATATTTATGTATGTTATTATAATATAAATTTTTAAAATTAAAAGGTTTCAATTTATTAAAGAAATATAAATTATATTATCAACTGCGCAAAAGAATTTTTCACTTGTGATAGATTTACAGTCATAATTGACAAATTACAACTATGATAGCGTTTCAGTGATAACTCAATCAATTGCGAACACCCATGTGTTAAAGAGAGATGCAAACTCACACACATACGTTTGTTTACATCAGTTTTTGCATAAGGCTCTTAAGAAAATGGTAAAAACTTTGTTCTGCGCGCCCTCCCTAAAGAAATGTTTCTAATACTTTATTAATGTTATTAACTATCTTCCCACTTACAACTTCAATATTTTGGAATAATAAGTCAAATACGACGTAGTATTTTATACTCTCATCACTTCTGTATTAAATTAACTCTCTTGTTGATGTTAGGTGGAACAAATTTTTGTGAGTTTATCAATCCGGAAAGATTTTCCGCAAATGGCTTGATTCTGGCAAACCACCTTGTGTTAGTGAATTGGGTATTTTGGATTTCAGAATTTCCCAACGATGTGTGCTGCTACTGAAAATATTGAAAGATTTTTGAACGACACGAAAAAAAATTGTTGCTCGGGGACTCGGCTTAAGTCAACTCGAACCAAATTCGGCGTGTGGGCACACAGGGCAAAAGAACGGCATACTTATATTTGCGTTGGATGTGATTTTGCACTCCTTTATATTTACAGCTCATATTACAACCATTATCCACGGCAATCTTCCAATGTTAAACATTTTCAATGTTTTGCAAATTAATGCCGACTCTTACTTACTTTACCAGTTTGTGCGAATGTACGGGTCTGTTTTTTTTTTTTGTAAATGCACGCAAGAACGCCTTATCGCTAATCACAACGTTTAAATAAATGTTCGAATTAATTACCTATCAAAAGCATTGTAATTTTTAACTATTTATTTCTTGGAGCCCTTTCGAGAACTCCGGGCCCGGGACGAATCACTCCTGACCCCCTCCCCTCTCGTCGGGCCTGGACGCAACTAGTTCGAAAAAACAAACCTTCAAAATGGAAAATTTGAAAAAGCATTATTGTTGCGCAAAAACGCGCAAAACTTGTAATATTTGAAAAGTAGTTGGACCAAAAATTACATCAAAACCAACTGTGCTAGCTAAAATGTTATTGTAAGTTATTTATGTTACTATATTTGTAGATTGTAGGAATTCCCAATAACTAAATTAATTTTTTTTACACGATTAACTCTCTTTTTGTACCTTTCTATTAGAAAAATTATAATTTTTTCTACATATCTAACTCGCCAATGAGAGTATTAAGAAGAAATTTTATGCAAAGGCACCGAACATTAAATCAGCAGTGCAAACTAAGCAGTGTTGCCAGCATTTACTGCATTACCCAAAAAGCCCAAAATCATGAGTTCTAAATAAATTTACAGAGGTCTGTATAGAGCAACCCAATTAAAATTTCGTTTGGGGATCAAATTCATAAAACCAAACCCACTCTTTCTCTCTTTTGTGCTGACGATTTTCGACAATTTACTTAACCTTACACTGCATTGATTTTATTCAAACTTTTTATTCTGCTTATAGTGAAAAAAACTCGACGGTTTTAATTTTTTTTTGATTTTGACATTAAGCCGTTTAGCCACGGGAATGTTGTGGAAAAGTCGAAAACGAGACTCACTAATATAAATCAGTGTTTTATTAGTATTTATAATTTATTTTGTTTAATATTTCAATTTCACATTAAATTTTTTACAAAATGAAAAAAGATGCATATTAAAAAAAAGTTTTCAAAGTGTTTTAATTAGAATTGATTGAAACACAATACATGTAATGCTATATCGCAACGAAGAGACTTCTCTAATTTGTCAATGTCATGGCCAACTTTGTCTTAACGAACACTCTCCAGAGCGGCGCCTTTTCCGCCAGAGCGGAGTAAACGTCTCGGGATCAAAATCGACGGTATTGCCATTGGCAGCAAATATTCTGCAACGTAAATACGGAGCTGTAATTGTTCCAATGGTTATGGTGTTTGTGTCATAGATTCTTCGGTGGTGCGTGACTTTCCCTTCTCGTATTTGAGAACAGCGCAATGGATCTTTCAAGCATTCCCCATTGCGGCATCCAACTCATTTATTGTTAGTGACGAATACCACCTTTGCCTCGAACATGAATTGGATACTTGTTCATGGCATTATCGAAGAGATCAACGCCACCCTTTCGATTATTGTATGCTCTTACGCTGTGTGGCATACCAACATCATTTTTCTTGCCGCCTTTCCATAGCTTCACACGATGCAGTGTTTCAATTGCCTCATGATTCGATGCAATGGTAGCAAGAGAATTGTCGTTCCGTAGTCGGCCGCTTTCTTTCGCGATTGTAACGAATGGTCCCGGTGGCATAATATCCCAACGAGGTGAGTTGGCTCATCAGTTTATTGAATTATCTTCATTGTACGCCCTTAATTCTATGTGGCTAGCTATTGCGTGAGGTAGAAACACACTTTCATTGTTCAGTATTTGCTGCTGATCATAGATTTTTTCCGAGATGAGACATTTGTAGTTTCTATAGACAAGACCACTAAGTACTCGCATTTATGATCAGCGTGCCCATTATCTCCTCAATCTCTTTTTGACTCCGGTATCTTTTGCGTAACATTACTGCCGCGCAGTAGGCAGGCGTACTTGCGAATCACAAATGAAGACCTTTTCGGGCTCGTGGACAACAACCGACTAACTTTTGCCTGGAAGGGTTCTTTTTTATATTCATGACCTAGGCAGCTTCTGGATAATTCTATTCTGGAAATATTTAGAAAAAAAGTTCTCGAATATTCCATGACTTGGAAATAAGTTTTCAGTTGATTTTTACATTTTCCGGACATTACAAGACTACCCGTCTTGTGTGCTTTGATTATACTTTTTATGTCACTTTTTTCGTAAAAGTACGCTGTAATCAAGAAAAACCACAGAACAATTTGCTGTTAGATTTATAGTGTCAAGCATAGAAAGATGCAACATTACATTCAAATATTGCTTTCAGGACATATCTCGCTTATTTTCAACTTCATGATTTTTCAGTTACTGGTCAAAAAATCGACCATTAGCTGTAAATGGGTTAACCGGAAATAGCCGGTTGATCCAGATTGTAAGTTTTCTAGTCCTGACAACCACTGAAAAATTGGCGTCCTACTCAAATGTGTCTATAAATTTGAATCCCCAAAATTCTTCTTCAACATCAAAAAAATACATAATTTGAAACCTACATTTGCAGTACTTGCAGAATATCTTTAATATTTAAATTGTATCGGTTCAATTAATGTTTTAAATAGTATTAAATATTTGGCGACTATTACAAGTTTAATATTTATCGTAATGAAAAAAAATCATTAAATTATTATTCTTATTTTCTTTTTAAATTATGTTTTTTAATAAGAGATTAAAAAAAAATTTTACTAATATTTGGTTAAAATGTTGATGGGCACTGGAATTGACATGTGTTCAAAGACGCAACAATTATCTCTTCAACCTTTATAGCAACTTCACTTTCTCGCGTCACTGCGCAGTGATAAAGTGACTCTCGATAAGGAAGTCTGCAGTTTCCAATTGCTCTGCAAGACGGTGACTGCGCCACTACTAAGCGTAATGTTTCATGGCTAAAATTGTATTTAATTAGCATAAAAAAGGTATATTATGCTACGCAGGTGTTGACTGTCACCGTATTTTCTTTTTATTTTTTAACAATGGGCTTTATCGGTAATGCAGTAAATACTGCCATTGCATAAAACTGTTAAAAACTGCGCATTTGATAATTTGTGTTTTAAAACATAAAAAATGTGCGAAATATTTCTTATTAATACTCGCCCTGATGAGTTAGATAGCAACAACTATCGATTTTTCTTAGAAAAGTACAAAAAGAGAATGAATCGTGAAAAAAAAAGAAATTTATTTATTTGCGAACAGCTTCAAAGTCTAAAGGATTATTGCAAAAGTGATAGCTTTAGATTACTTGACGCACTCTTTCTACTATATCCTACAAACATTAAAAAAAAATCCACACATAATAAAACAGTTATATTAACATTATATTTAACATAAATAACTTACCATGACATTTTAGCTAGCTCAATTGGTGTTGATGTAATTTTTTGGGCAACTACTTTTCACATGTGGCAAGTTTTGACGTTTTTGCGTAACAGCTATGTCAATAATGCTTTTTCGAATTGTCAATTTTGGCAAAGATGTCACGTTTTCTTTTTCGAACTGGTTGCATCATGCATACTGCGTAGTTTGCATTACCGAAAACGCCGCATATTACCAATTTTTCATGTTTTTCAACACAAATGATTATTTTAATGTTTAAAAAAATTTTCCGCCCAGTCATTAAAAATTATTTTTTCCATATTATACCATATAAATTACTTATAACACTTACTTCAGTTGTCTTGCACGCGAAACGGCAATTTAAGACTTTAAATAATTTGCCCATAACAACATTGTAAAACCCATTATTTTGAAATATATTATATTAAAACTATATTATATTGCATTATAACATTATATTACAATAAATATGGGGAAATACATACAATATTCCATGTGTATTCTATTATTTGGAAATTGCCTTCATTCATGTGTTATATAATCTAAAACCTTAAGTGCCTCAAATAAGTGTGAATTCGACTCCAAATAATCATAAATTATATTTAATTGGGAGCTTTTGCATTTTTCCTATATATTCCTAGAAGTACTGGCACACCAAGTCATCTACTGTGAAACTATTGGACTTTTTTTGTCTATTTCAGATATATTAGAATTATTTTGTTGTACAGAAGCATTGCTAGGACTAGAAGGGATGTTTCCCGTTCGATCCATATTCCATGGATTTGATCCTGATATAGGCGAGTCTGCATGACCAAAGCCTGTATGATTTTCATGTTCCACAGCATTACTTCCATCATATTGAGTATTCTCTAGTCTTGTAATTAATCTTTCATCTTCTTCACCAAACTCACCGCCCATCAAGGTGGGTTCACCTACAACCATTACATCTTGTGAAGATAATGAGAAATTTGGACCCGACGGAGATCTCTTTTGATTGGTAACCGGAGGCGTGCCTGCATTTGCCGCTCCTCCAGAATTAGATCCTTTCCGTTTACGTCTCTTATTCGCTGGTCTTTGTGGATCCTTTTTTCCTGGAGGAGCCACCATTCGTTGCCATTTTTGAAACAAAGTAGTTTTTAAGCAATCACGTGGACTTAGTGCATATGCTTTATGCCTAGACATTAATTCTTGCATTGGTTCCAGTATAACACATAAACGGAGATAATTCAAAGTGGAATTTGTAATTCCTGCCCTTGTAATATTCTTTGTTATTTGATCTAATAGCATTGGGTCCGGTGGTATCGATGTTCCTATTACAGACCGGGGAATAAGTTCCCTATGGCCTTTAATTGTCATGTGCCATGATCTTATTCGCATATAGTCATCATACACAAATTCTAGTATAAGTCTTGCGTCAGCACATACTTTAGTAAAAAATGGCTTACCATGTTGCGTTATTACTGTACATTGGTCACAATCTAGCGTAATAGTTGTATTATGAAATGACTCTTTTGCATGTTTAAGCTGGAAGTACAAGTCAGATACGCCTCCTTCATAGATGCTGCGAAAGAATCGTGGTATTAGTGTCCGTCCAATAGTATATCTTTTTGGTCCGTCTTCTAAACAAAATAATATTGTTAATCTAGCATCATCTTCAAAGAACTCAGTGGTGAAGGAATCCCACCAACAGTTATCACTTTCATCTGTACGTTGCTGAAGTCGCTTATTCAATTCAAAAACACGGTGTTCAGTGTGACTAAAATAAGAGTTATGCCTTCTAAAGCCTTGCTCCATACGATCTATTTGTTGAGAACTTCCCATCATTGGGTGGCTGCCTGTATGACTAAATGGAGAAGTAGTTGATAATGTGCTGAATTGGCTTCCAAAAACTGCTTGCGAAGAAAAGTGACTGCCCTGTCCAGAATTAAAAGGAGTTCCCGCATTTGATGGTCTATTAAATTGATTTAAATTTGAAGAGGGAGAGCCAAATGGACCTCCAACAGGACCATTAAAGGATCCCGAGCTTGCAGACTGAGTATAAGAACCGCCAATGCCTTGTTGTACAACTGGTCCTGGAGTCGAAGAACCAGACGGGGCAGGCGAAGACGTATACTGAGGAGTATTAGAACCTGGCGGATTCGTATTTTGAAATATTATTGACTGATTACCGGCAGGAGAAGACTGACCTCCTTGTGGATATTGACTGTTACTAGAATTATATGTAATACTGTTTTGTGGAAATCCACTTTGATTTGATCCATCGGAGTTTAAATTAGAGTTGTTAGAATTGTTTAAAAGTGACGAATTTTCCGCTACATTTATGTTTTTCCAATTGCTGTCGTCCATTCCTGATTGAGACGCCATTGTTGTAACAGTATTAATACCACGGCGATTCAGTCCCAACATTATTCCTTTTTCATAGAATTCATTGATATCTAAATTTGAAAGAAAGCAGTAATTATAGAATTTGGTATTAAAGTACTTACTAATGGTTAATAAGTAAATAAATACGGTTCGCAACTAAACATATTGATAGAATCTAACGAGAACTTCACTGGCTAAAAAGCTAGATCAGGAAAAAAAATAAAGAAAAAAAAACCACAAAGCAAAAATCTGTCCCCAAACAAATATTTAGTTTCTTTTGTTAAAAAAAAGATTTTGCAGTTTCGAACACAGAAAAAAGTCACAAGAGACAAATCTGAGTCACAATCATGCTAGTATGAGACGGCGCAATCATTTGCAGCTATGAAACCAGAATTATTGCTTATGTTGGTTGGCTTTTATATTTCGGTATTCGGCAGCGCTAGGGTTGCCACCTGGCAACTCAAATCTTTATCGTAGTTTGACATTTTTGATATTATACAAACTCAGAACGTTTTGAGATACGAGTGATATTTATGTTAATTACAGTAACTTAAAATATTCATCTCGACTAAAAAATGAAACTAAATCGCGAACATTTTCGCCAGATTATTTTTTTCAACTTTTGACATGGATTAGCTCATCAACTTAATTAAATTTTTGGAGAGAAAGCTTCATCAAGGACCAGTGTTTATTGATGGTATGGTGTATTCAACCAAGGTCGTAGCTCACATCAAGTCGAATTTCGTGAAGGTCGTCCAAAATAAAAAATTATTCCGAAAACTATTGGTGCTGTGGGGTTACTCTGTTTCGAGTGTCAAACTGGTGCGTTTAATTTTCTGATTCGTCATCAACCTGGCACATGCAACAGACAAATAATGTAAATTCGTAGCGCCTATTAGTAGTTTAAGCATACTAAAATAATTTCTTTTATTAGGTAAAGATGAAAACCTAAAAGTAACTTTAAATGGAGTGACCCTCTGATATTGTAAGATCGTTATGGGACCTATCGTGAGATTGAGACAACTATAGGCAATAGAGGGACGAACATATTGTATTTCACATAATCGGTTTTGTTCCCGTTGTCGTTATCAACATTTATCAAACATAAATTTGTATTCCCTTTTGAAACGAATATGGTAACAGTCGTTTCTTGTCATTGTAGTTATTGAGAGCGAAGCAGATTGAAATTTTAGTGTCCGAAATAAAAAAAACGCCTGCATATGCCAATAATTTAAGAATAGAAATAAAGCCATTTAATTTCAATATTTTTTTAAACGATAATTCGAAAAACGACAGTATTAGATCCAGATAACCGAGTCCAAAAAAAGTTGTTTGCGCACGAAGCACTTCCAAGCAGATCACTCTGCACAATGGCAATGCGAGCTCTCACAACGACTGAAACAACTGCATTTTTGAGCACTCAAAACATAGATTTGATGAATCATCCACCGTGTAGTCTTGACTTGGCACCGAATGATTTCTTTTTATTCCCGTACGTAAAACGTCTCGAAATATAAAAAGCAACCCTCATATAAACAACTTCTGGGTGTATTTGCGTTGTGTGCTGGAGCAGGACCTCTTATGCTATTCATCGGAGAGAGTATTGCTTAACTGCTTTACCACACCTGCTTATACACTTTTGTCCCAGTTTTACCCCCTTTTTCACAAAAGTGAAGAGGCTTTTTGCGTCTTGGAAAGTTTATGCGTAGATTTTATCGTTTTACTTATTAAAAACTTCTTTAACAGTCAAACATTTTTTATCTGTAAAAACAAAACAACTAAGTTACACCGGCACGTAATATAATAAAATTATAAGAGTTGTCGTCATTATAAATAGAAAAAATACATACTGAAAAGTCTGCGGCAGCTCTAAATAGTTACGTTGATATTTAACAATGCGAGTTTTATATGCTTCAATGCAATTAAAGTATGTATTTGCAAACTCACATAAAACTGTGTTTTCATATAAGCATAATGGTACGGAAAATCATTACTAATTCAAATTTTCTGAAAGTAAATGTAACTCTATTTACGAGCTCATTTTACCTTTAGCACCATTTTCAGTTGTTCATAAAAATAGTAGAGCCATCCTTAATTTTTCTATTTGTGAGTTAAGACAACTTAATTACAATTGTTTAATGCAAAGAATTAAATTAAGTTACTTATAAATGTCATTTTCAAGCCCTACGTCGAAGGATCAATATATTTAATAAATTTTTTTTTGAATTTTGATTTAAAAGAAAATATGAAAGGATATACGAATAATAACTGGTAGTCGACGAAATAAGCCCCGAGTTGCCTAAAATTGAGTAATATACTAAACACATATGGTCAAAAAGAAGAGGCAGACAAATAAACTGACCGATAAATCATTAGTTAGAAGCAGGGATGCGAATTTTTTAATTCAAACATTTTGGATTAAAAATTAAATATTCATTTTTTAATGTGATGTGGGACTATAACTTAGATTTTCTTTTAATCCAAGATGTTATTTTTTTAACCGGTATATTGCATTTTTTAATTTTATTTTTTCCGTATTTTGGGATTATAAAATAAAAACAAATTTTAAATCAAATGTTAATTAAATTTTTTAAGGCATTATTTGCAACCCTTGTACCCAAATATTAGCTTTAAAAGGGCGATTTTAACCACTATGTATAGGAAAAGTCATAAAATACTTATTTGTTAGATCCCAATTTAAAAGACAGCAACTCAAATTTATAACCTTTAACTATGCCACACTAGAAAAACAGATTTACATATTTATACAAATACCCACATAAAGTGGTTAATTAAAGTCAAAATGACGAAATTTTTCCTGAACAAATGAAGGTAAAGTAGTACTATTCAGGTTAAAATGTTGCCAGCAATATGCTCTAATCATCAAAACTAATCTAATATGTCTCCGTATACTGTTTGAACCGAGAAGAATACAGGACCCTAACTAATGTTTTTGTTGCAGCGGATAAAAACATACCTGAAATAAATTTGAAGAAAGCAGCCGAGTTGACAGAGATAAAAATCCGGGTTTGTTCCGGTTACGTAGACCCGACTGTCGTGGGAACGGACTTAACTAATGCTTAGACACTCTTTCTCATACAGTGTCGGGTGGCCTATATATAAAATTTAACGCGTTATCGTTAAATATATCCAACTAATAGAATATGTTATACTTCAGTATATAAGGGGAGAAATTTGACAAGGAGATGAAGCATACTAGGGGTGAGCATAGAATTTTTTTTTTAAATAACAATATTGAGGACTGAACGAAGCCTATTTAATTTCTTAACTTGAAAATGTGTGGGAAGATTTCATTTAATATGTTTTATGAAAAACGGTCTAATAGCAAGTAAGGAAAGGTTAAGTTTGGGTTTTACCGAACATTTTATACTCTTGCACCTTGCAAGGAACAAAGCCGGGGGAACACCTTCAGGTTTTGACAAAACCTTATATCAAACTACCATTAAACATCTTCTATGCGATTGCGCAGCACTATATAGGAAAAGAATCGCAACCATCGGCCGTGGGTTTCTTGACGACGTCTCGGATAAAACTTGTCTCACTGATGAAGTTCATCAGAAGTACGGGGTGGTTCAGAGAGGAGCCAATAGAGTGAGGGGACCACAGTTCCAGTGGTATCACAATGGGCCTCCTAAAGGCCTAGGTGTGTCGAATGACAGCCACTTTACCTACCTAGGTATACGGGGGCTAAGGGAAGTGTTGACCTGCTTTTACACATTTTTGGAACAAGCTATATTCCGATTTCGATAATTTTTAGACGTAAGATGAAATACCTTGAGGGCACTACTGGTGCAAAGTTTATAACTTTATTGATGTTTGATTTGTATACTGTAAAGTAAAAGAATCAGACGGAATTAAAAAGTTTGTTATATAGGAATTAGGCGTGGTTTCCATTGTTGCAGTGTTTAATTGGAATACCCAAACATTCTCATCTCACACCACAAATTTAATGGATTCGGTAGAGTAGTTCCTGAGATATACATAGGATTTCACATTAATGTGGCAGTGCCACGCCCATTGTCCAATTTTTACACCAGATCATATAAAGAACTTTCCCTACCATCCTGGTTGCAAATTTTAATGTTTGTGGCTCATTTATTAATTGAGTTATCGTACTTTTAATAGTTGTCAACATAACCGTTATATGGGGAGTGGGTCGGTCTGGTTATTATTACATTTTACCAATTTTCACAGAGTGTGAAGAGGTAATAAAAAGACCTTTTCTCAGCAGCTTTAGTTGATGCAGCTTAAGCAATTTGGAAGATATGTACATTACATACAATGGGCGGAGCCACGCCCATTTAAAAAAAAAATTTACCCACAGGTGTCCCTGGCTACTGCGATCTACTCTACTAAATTACAGTTATGTATCTTAATTTGCGGCTTAGTTATGGCACTTTAAAAGGTTTTTGTTTAATGGCGTTTTGTAAGCGTGGTAATGGACCGTTTCTGCCCATCTGCAATACCAACCTGGAGTGCCAAGGAAAATGTGCACCAAGTTTCATCAATATATCTCAATTTTTACTCAAGTTATCGCCTCCACTAACGAACGGACGGACAGACAGTCACTCGGAATTCAACTAGTCTCGTCATCCTGATCATTTATATAAAGATATGTAACCCTATATTTAACTCGATTAGTTTTAGGTGATACAAACAATCGTTAGGTGAACAAAACTATTTACTCTGTAACAACATATTGTAAGAGTATAAAAGCTTTTAATAGAGTAAATACCGACAAACAGTCAGTAGTAGAATAAAGAGCTACAATCGGTCAGTACTAAGTATGCATAATAGATAGATAAGTTCAATGCTATGCTGCAAAGATGAGCCACCGATGGCGTCCATTAAACTTAACCACCTATCATCCTGACTTAACTACTTACTACTGACCGATTGTCGCTCTTTATTATAGCCTATTCGACAAAATACTAGTTTAATTACACTAGTGTATAGTAATTTTGCGACTGTAATGTTAGCGGCTGTTTCTCGTTAATTTTGGGTTGCTAAAATCAAATGATAGTAAAAATTGCCTAACACCTAGAATTTT